AGATTCTTGGCTGTTCATCTTCATCTCAGATACCAGGAACTTGTGACTCACAAGCGCGTTGTTGCTGTAGTGATCTCGATTTGGATCATAAGTGCGATTCTGATGTTGCTGTTCATATGGACTAGGCCGTCAAATATTTCTGCGATTATTTCAGTAACTGTTCAAAGCGTTTGTTACCTTAGTACAGCCTTGTTTTATTTCAAGATCTACTTAGCTGTACGTCACCACACCAATCAAATGCACGTCCTGCAAGCACAGCTAGCACAGAATAATGAGGGAGATATAGCTAATGCTGCCAGGCAGAGAAAAGCTGCAGTTGGTACATCCTACGTGTATTTGTTGTTTTGATTTGTTACCTGCCAAACACATGTCGCTGGATTATCCATAGAAGCGATGGACCAAGTACGATGCTATTGCAGTTTGGACTTTATACTACCACGCTGGTGTTCCTCAATTCATCTCTCAACCCTCTGATCTACTCCTGGAAGATAAGGCATGTTCGGCATGCTATCATGGAAATACTGAGAAACATAATGCCACATCCACACCAGTGACGAAAGAAAAAAGTGAAGAAACTCGGCAATACAGTGTATATAAAAACTTTATATAGACTTGGATGAATACTTCATTCACCTCTTTCATAGCAATTTTTTTTTATCTAGGTAAGTTTTAGGCTCTTTTCAGATTCTCAGAGCGTGCTCTCACTTCCTGAACAGCGGCTGGTAATCGAGCCTAGGTATTTTTGTTTTATTTATTTATTTATTTATTTATTTATTTTTATTTTTGGGTCTTACGTGTGCCAACCGCTATCTTAATTCCTTACTGCTGTTTCATACAGGTAACGTTGCTCATAACTAAATTGTTTATCGCTGTTCAGTGTAAAAGCGCAAGGTTAGCTTGATAAATTAAACGCCAAAAAGCTGTAACTAAAAGTTTTTCATGAATTTCAGGAAATTGTCAGAATCAAGAAATTTAAGTTATGGACACAAATATAATATACCGATAAAAATGTTTTGAGTCAATTTTTCTCAGCTGAAGTTTAATTCTTGTTAGCATGCGATGTGCTAACACTAAAGAGTTTCCCTGCAATAAAAACCATCTGGTAAAAACTTAATTTACTGTCAAGCTGTTGTAAATGTTCTTCTTCAATAATAAATAGAAACTCGCTGATTCCTGATACAAAGACTGAACTGCGGGCAATAGGTACAAGTAAATACAAGAAGACACAAAAGAAACGAATTTGTGTGAAAACGATGGCGGTAAAAAAATTGAGGCGGAAAACGTCCAGACCTCAAGGCACTTGTCACCTTCTCTCTATGTTACAAATAAACTCTAAAACTGTTAATATACTCTGAAATCAGAGTTCTTCGTTCCCAATCCTTCGCCAAAGGCAATATTTCAGAAGGAACACCCAACGTAAGCTTGAAAGTTATAACGCGAAAAAAATGCTAGCTCTTCCTTCAAATCCAGACTCATATGAACTCATGCAGTATCCGCTTCAGTCTTTTTCTTTCTCAAACTGCTGAAATTTTTGATCGTTAATGAAACACGGATGTTCCTTCGGATGAGTTTGAGCCGAACATGCCAACTTAACGTTTGTGTGATATTCTTGTTATTCCAATGGCCTTCCTTGCCTTTGTCCCTTTCGTTCTATGGCTATGTGATAAATTGGAACATGCTTTAAAAAGTTTCGCTTATTACCTTAGCACCAAAAATTCTTAGCGGGCATTATTCACTAATAGTGAATAGATTTTTCATTTTCAAGAAGAAAATGTACGTGGCAGCGATACGTCATAGGTCACTGGACAAGTATAAAATAAAACTTCCTTTTGACAACGAAACGATTTTTGTTTCACGGTTCTTTTTTCAGGCGGGGAGAAGAATCATACTAGTTCCACCACCCCTTCGCAAAAGGAAAATGCTATGAAAATGATATATTTCTTTTTCCTTATAAAATGAGATCACGTACTGAACCTTAATAAAAGTATGGAAGAGAAGACTTCTACGAGGCTTTCTTTGTTTACAGTGACTGAATCCCCATATTTAAAACTTCTAACACCGCTTCTACCGACCTTTCTTGATCAGGCTAAGTCAGTTGTTGAGAGCTTTTCTGCAGGATTTTTTGCAATCTCTTCTCCTTTTTGGAGGAGACGTTAAAAAAGCGATGTCAGTTTTTTTAAAGATTAGACGTCTCGTCACTATTTTACCCTTTTTTCTGTAAACAATCATTACCGATAACACTAGTGATGTAATTATTGCGTTTTCCTTCGTATTTCTTTAGCGAACATGTCTTGCGGAAAACGCAGGAAAATTGCATTTCTGAGCCCCTAAAATTTGAAATATTTTATGAGTGAGCATGCCCCCAGACCCCCCTACTTTGAGGTACCTTCTTTCGGCGGTCTAACGTAACCTTTCTTTCCGAGCGTACACCTTCAAAATCTCAACGGCTACGCCCCTGCCGAAAGCGGATGTTTATCGTTTTCTGGGATACCAGGTCCCATATTTTCCAGTCGGACCCGAATAATAACTCGGACTCGACTGCTTTATTCGGACACGAACTTAAATCAATTTCCCGGAACCAATTAAAAATCGGACCCGAATTGTTGTGAAATCGGGTCCGAATAATTTAAATCGGACCCGATTTCACAAAAATTCGAGCCCGATTACGATTTGAAATATCGGACCCGACTGGTGCAATTCGGATCCGATTTAAGTTCGTGTCCGAATAAAGCAGTCGAGTACGAGTTATTATTCGGGTCCGACTGGAAAATATGGGACCTGGTATCCCAGAAAACGATAAACATCCCCGAAAGCTTGTCCCATAAAACAGTAACGAAAGAGACGGAAAATCTTTTCTTGGGGCATCTATCCATATTCTACCCCTGACTGAACTTAAGGCGCAATACAATCAGCAGTTAATGAATTCGGCTTTCGTAGGGTATGAAGAATTAAGTAGATCTAGGAGAGTGTTATCCACTAAGACCAACTTATTATTCATTCAAAATCATTCCTAGTTTTAAAACATAGCTAAAAAGTGACATGCTTACCTGCATCGATGTTAAGTTCATCTTCGATAGTGTACGTTTAGGTCTGACCAGCTCCGCAAATATTCTCCAAATCGCAGATGTCGCCCTCCGAGTTGTCTTCTTGCTGTTTTTGCCATGTTTTTTAGCTAGTATTTCGCCTAGTTCCAGCTGTAGTTCTTACTCTTAAAACAAGTGAAATGTCCGCCATTTTTTTTCTTACAACCTATTGAAAACAACTCAACCTGTGGACCGAACATAAACCATTAATAAACTAACTAAGGTAATTATGGAGGTCATTCTTGTTCGATGGATGGCTTAGCGTTTCTCTTTTCTTGTAGTTTTTTATCAAACGAAAATTCTCAATTTTTTTCGCGTCTTAGTTTAAGAAGCACTCGTCTTACCTCAGTTAAGTTTGCAGCATACTATTTAAGAGGAGTAGCATCTTAATCAAAAGTGATCTTAAAGAAATTTTAAGATGATTTTTAAATAGCTTGAAATCTTTTTAAAGATTTTTGTTAATTAAAATTAACAAAACCGTCTATATCATGGTGAGGCTAATTGGTCTTTCATTGTATGAAAATTAGTCTTGTGATGAGCATGCGGATTATTTTCGGCGATGATTGAAATGATGTGCTATTGTTCATCACGAATTTTCGTGTATTTATACACGCGTATCAACCCGAAACCGCAGACGTATTTCTGGTCGTCGCTAACATGCATACTAAGTTAGAAAACATCAATTCAGAAACAAATCGTCAAATACGATATAAAAAGTAAATATCCTGAAGAATACTCGACCGTCGATAAAGTAAGAACCTTTCGCGAGTAAATTCTGTTTCGTGTAGAATTAATCGCCTCCTCATTTCGTATCTAATCTCCAAGTAATTGAGAATTAGTCAACGCCGCTTTTAATTTAGTTGTTCTTCACAGTTTCAATTTCAGTTTAGTCATTACCAAGTTATTTCGCACCTGGCCTTGTTAATCTACGTATAGTTTGTGACAACAGTAACTGAGCAATAAAACTAGGTCTATTTCTCACCTTGATGTTTTAATAACTACAAATTTTTAAGGCATTTAAATGAAACTTTTAAATTAATAACTTATAAAGAGCACCATTTGTGGATTGAAAAGGAATTTTTAAGAAAAAGTGAGACAAAGGTGAATAATAACTGTCAGTTATCTAAGACCTTTAAGCAGACATTATAGGCTTTTTTTAATTAATATTCAAAAAACCTGAGTTTTCATCTTCTCACTCGTTTAGAGGAACATGCGTGTTCTTTTAAAAATGGAACATTTCAGTCAGTTAAAGGAACAAAAACAAGCGGAAACTGAGTTCATGAGTCTATATTTGAAGGAGAAGCTAACTCGCAAAGAAAATTATGGAACTGTAACATCCAGTGGACAGACACAGAGTTCGATTCTAAAAGTTTTGAGTTTTTCAAGCAAAACTTAAACTCTACTTCAATAATTAAGCGTTGCCGGGTGTATTTTTTGAGCTTTCGAACTTAATGAACATCAAAATAAATGCTAAACGAAACAAATCAAACTTTATAAAAAAAAATTATTTGACGCTATTGATATGTTAACCGACGAATTTCCAGCTCTCTCTATTTTTTCCTTCGCTTACCTTTTTTTTGTTAATTGTTGTTGTCACTTTAACATTCACTTTTAATTTGGTCGCTGTCATTTATTTGCCACGCATTTGCCAAGATAATTTGAAGAAAACCTCCAGCAAGTATTAACTTCATGATTCTTTCAATCAAACATACCCTTAAATTTGCATTTACCTTAATTTATGTAACACGCCACGTTAAAAACAACAATTTTTTAGAATTTGTGAGGGTGAATCTGAAGTATCTCGTGTGAGAAGCTGGACTTGAAGAAAGAAAAGCATATTGGTATAACATACCATTTCACTTTCGAAGTTTTTTTAGAAAGTTATTTCTTGCCTGAGTTACCCAAGCAATTATAATTATGCAAGCTTCATTAATCGCGAACTGCGTCTTCAACGCCTTCTTACCTTTTACCGCCATAACGCTTAACATTGTGACAATACTCGCTCTGAGAAAACCATTGACGATACCAGGAGCTCTAAAAGTATTGCTGCTGAGTCTTTCTGTATCTGATCTTGGTGTTGGTTTACTAGTTCAACCTTTGTATAGTACAAGTCTTGTCATGCTGATAAAAGAAAACACTCGAACTCGAACTTTTGAGATTACTTTGAACTTTTTAAATGGCACAGCGACTTTTCTTGCTTTTACCTCGTTCTTTAGTGTTGTAGCTCTAGCCGCAGACAGATTCTTGGCTGTTCATCTCCATCTCAGATACCAGGAACTAGTGACTCACAAGCGCGTTGTTGCTGTAGTGATATCGATTTGGATCATAAGTGCAATTCTGATGTTAGTGTTCATATGGGAACCGTCAAATGTTGCCAAGATTATTTTAGTATTTGTTGAAAGCGTTTGTTACCTAACTACAGCCTTCTTTTATTTCAAGATCTACTTAGCTGTACGTCACCACAGCAATCAAATTCACGTCCTGCAAGCACAGCTAGCACAGAATAATGAGGGAGCTGACATGACTAATTCGGCGAGGGAGAGAAAAGCTGCAGTTGGAACATTCTACGTGTATCTTGTGTTTCTGATTTGTTATCTGCCAAACACAATTTGTTCCTTGATTACCCTTAGAAGCGCTGGACCAAGTACGATGCTATTTCAGTTTGGACTTTATGCTGGCACGCTGGTGAACCTCAATTCATCTCTCAACCCTCTGATCTACTCCTGGAAGATGAGACATCTTCGACATGCTGTCATGGAAATACTGAGAAACATACTGCCACATCCACACCAGTGACAAAAGAAAAAAGTGAAGAAACTCGGCAATACAGTGTATGTAACATCTTTAAAGATTTGAATCGATACTTCCATTTACATCTTTCATAGCAAATTCTGTCATCTAGGTAATTTCAAGGCTCGATTTTTGCTGCTCTCAGAGCGTGCGCTCACTTCCCGAACAGCGACTGGTAATCGAGACCAGGTTCTTTTTTTTTTTTTTTTTTTTTTTTTTATGCGACAGTGTGTTGCCTTATTTCCGTGACAGCGTGTTGTATTGGGGCCCCGTTTTTTTTTTTTTTTTTTTTTTTTGCTGCCTTGCACAAACCCCTATCTAAATTCTTTCCAGTGCTGATTGATAATTCATACGGGTAACGTTGATCATAACTTGTTTATCGCTGTTCCAGTGTAAAAAAGCAAAGTTAGCTGCTTCTAAACGTTTTTCATAAATTTGAGGAAATTATCAGAATCAAGAAATTTAAGTTATGGACACAAATGTAATATAGCAATAATAATGTTTTGAGCCATTTTTTCTCAGTTTAAATGAAATTCTTGTTAGAATGCGATGTGCTAGCACTAAAGAGTTTCCCTGTAATAAAAACTATCTTGTAAAAACTTAATTTACTGTCAAACTGTTGTGAATGTTCTTCTTCAGTTATAAATAGAAACTCGCTGATTCCTGATACAAAGACTGGACGGCAAAAGGTACAATTACATACAAGGAGGCACAAAAGAATCGAATTGTGCGAGCAACGGTGGCAGTAAGAAGACAAAACTGGGTGGGGGGTCGTCTTGACCTCAACGCACTTGTCAGCTTCTCTCTGTGTTGCTAATAAACTCTAAAATCAGAGTTCACGTTCACGATTCTTCGCCACTAAGGCAATATTTCAGACGGAAGACCAATTACGTAGGCGAATTGTAGTAGTACTTTATTAGACATAGCCTAAAAGGATTTGCTGTAATAAAAGAAAAGTCATAGTGTGAAGCATTTTCTTTTTCAGCTTCACCTTTCGGTTGCTATATTGTGACTAATTATCTAAGCAAAATAGTTGCAATTAAATAGCTACAACGATTAAACAATGCTACAATATATTAATAGCTCTTCTTTCAAATCCAGACCCATATGAACTCAGTTGTAGCTTTTAGTTTCTTTCTCTAACTGACAGAAACTTTTTGATCGTCTGAAACACGGATGTTCCTTCGGATGAGTTCGAGCCGAACATGACAACTTAGCGTTTGTGTGATATTCTTGTTATTCCAATGGCCTTCCCTGCCATTGTCCTTTTCGTTCTATCAATGGCTATTGTGATAAATTGGAACATGCTTAAATCAAAGAGAAAGAGAATTCGTTTATTAGTACCAAAAATTCTTGGCCGGGCCATGTTTTATTAAATTAGATTTTTCACTTCCAAAAGAAGGTCTACGTGGTAACGATATGTAAAAGGGTCACTGGTCTAGAATGAGATAAAACTTCCTGTTGACAGCGAAATGATTTTTTTCTTTCACAGTTCTTTTTTTAGGCGAGGAGAAAAATCATACTGGTTCCACCACCCCTTCGCAAAAGGAAAATGCAATGAAAATAATATTATACTATTATATTTCTTTTCCACAAATAGAGATCAAGTACAGAACCTAAATATCCTTGAAACTGAGCAGGAGCAGATAGTGTGGTGAGAGAAGTTTTTAATAAAAGTATGGAAGAAAAGACTCCTACGAGGCTTTCTTTGTTTACAGTGACTGAATCTCCATATTTAGCACATTCTCTAACCGTTTCTATCGACCTTAATGGGGTTAAGCCAGTTGTTGAGCGCTTAACTGCAGAATTTGTTGCGAACCCGTATCCTTCTAAGGGGAGACGTAAAAAAAAAAGCATTAAAGAACGTCAGCTCTTAACCTTAACGTTTTACTCAAGGAAACATGTAGTTAGCTTGTAAATTCAAACGCCGTGAAAGGTGAAACTGAAAGTTTTTCGTAAATTTTAGCAAATCATCGTAATCAAGAAAGTTAGGTTGTGAACACAGAACTGTGATATAGTGATAGTTATTTTTTTCTATTAACTCAATAAAATTACGATCTCATAATTCTTCGCCAGGGACAGAGCTAGTAAATTTCGGCGAATTCGTCAATACTTTACCTTCGGCTCAGGGACTTATTATTGATATGAAATTTGAATTAAAAAAATTCAAAATTAGACTTTTTACGAAGTCGAATACGTACCCTTTGAAATTTTAAAACATAAAGTGAGAGAGGACCAAAACGAAGATAATCCCGCCCAAAAAGCTGATACAGTGCGATATCATTGTAAACTGGTTGCGTTTTTACTGGGTGCGATTTCTAAATTAAGCCTGTGCCATAAAACAGTAAAGACATAGAGGGGAAATTAAAGAGACCAAAATTCATTTCTTAGGCCATCTATCCATTTGCAACTCATGATTGAAATTAAGGCGCCATGTCGCGGTCCGCTTCGCATTTTCAGGTCAAAACTGAAGTGAATGCAGGTATCTTTACTTATCTTCGATTATCGTGACTGGAATCTCCAGAGAATAATAATAAAGGAATTAAGTCTCTCAGTCAAATCGCAAACAAAGAATGATCAGTTACAGTTGGTAAATTTTTACAACCAGTTTTTTTTTTTTTTTTTTTTTAATCAATTCTTCTCTCAACCCTCTGATCTACTCCTGAAAGAGGAAAAATTTTTGAAATGCTATATTGAAAAAATTGAGAAAAATATTCCCACATCCACACCGGAGAAAAAAAATAAAAAAAAAAAAAAACCTCGACAAAACAAAGTGACA